GTCAAGCAGTTGTTTCGAGACAACCACCTATCGGTGATGGATTGGCCGCCTCAATCTCCGGATCTCAACCCTATCGAGAACCTGTGTCAATCGCAGAATTAATCGTGAAGGTGTTCATAATAAGGATCAACTGTTTCAACAAATCCAAAAGACCTGGCCAGCGATTCTACAAAGTTTCATTAAACACCTGATCGAATCTATGCCTCAAAGATGCAAGGCTGTGATCGACAACAAAGGATTCGCCACGAAATATTGATAGTGAAATACAGCTTGGTCAACATTTTGTGGAGTTGCACTTGTTTTTCCAAAACGAAATCAACTTTTTTGAACTTTGTGATGAATAAAACTTGAAGCACGTTGTCTCTAAACAGTTACATAGTTATTTCTCTAAACTGAAAAAATGCATCACTTTTATATAAAGAAACTAAATTAGCATTATTTGGTTGCACTTGTTTTGTCCGATACTGTATATATGTAAAGTAAAAAAAGTTTCAGTATTTGCAATGGTTTGCAACAACATTTGCAACAGTTCTAGGAACTGAACAAACCTTTCAATGGAATCTTTACTGGCTAAAACATGAAAAGAAATTGATTTATTTGACTTATTTTTATGTTGAAATCTATTATAACTGCAAATTACTCTGCAAATTACATACTTTTGATTTAACTTCAGATGCCGAAAACTGCATAAGGTTGTTCTGAAGGTTCGGTGTTAGATAAAAGGCGCAGCAATCAATTAGGTTATTATGCTGCCTTAAAACATATAAGCAGTGTAAGTAAAAAGTTTTATGATATCAAAAAATTACCTTTATTATTAAACCATCTGCCACAAGTTCTCTATTCCAACCAAAATACCAGCTTGTTTGCTTAAAAAAAAGTTTATCTATAATAGCCTCTACAACATTTTCCTATTCTTCTCTATCCGTCTCCTCTCTGAGGCTATGAGATGTGCTTAAGTCTTTTTGTCATTAGATATTTAAAGTTTTACTAAAAATAACTACCTCATAGATTTTCATGAAAAAATAATCTCCTTGATAACATAGATTCTCATGTTTTTTTTTTTATGGTTTGTGCTTCTTATAAAAATGTAGAAATTATCAAAAAACTATGAAAATTTGTGTTATCAAGGAGATAATTTTTGCAAAAAACTGAAAAGTCAACATACAAAAAAATACTATTTATCATTTTTGTAAATGTGATTCCTGATATTAATTTTTACCTGTGTAAAATATATGCGGATGACACGAAACTGCTGGCCCGTTTATACCACTTATTAGCCTCACAAAAACTTCAAAGTGATATCAACAACATAGTTGAGTGGTGTAAAATCTGGCATATGAAACTCAATATAGAAAATTAGTAAATGCACATAGGTAACACAAACGATCTTTATGCCATCTCAAAGCCAACTAAAATAATAATAGCGTCGAACTTGCATCAACTTTAGTTGAACGTTATCAGGACGTCATGATCATGTCAGATTTGAAATGGCATTATAATTCAGCGTAAGCAATTGATAAAGCTAACCGCGTTTTAGGCATATTGAATCGTACATTCAACCACATGACTCCACAACTTCCTAAAATTCTCTACACAACGATTGTACGCCCTTATCTAGAATTCGCGGTAGCAGCAAACTACCGATTCTCAAGATTGGATATTGATAAAATTAAAAAAGTACAAAGACGAGCAACCCGTTTAATACATTCACACCGTCGACTATCATAAAAAAATCGTTAGAGTCTTCTAAATTTAACTTCTTTAAAAACACTTCGAATAAGGGGATTCAAGCGTATAAAATTGTTAACAAGATAGACATTGTCTCATGGAGTCAACCCAATGTTTTTTGTGTTGAGCTGGCAAATCCAATAAAAACTAGAAGAGATCACTTAAAATTGACAAGAAAACACGCGCAAAATTGCGGGCAAAGGCATCAGTTTTTTACAAACCGAGTAGTAAATCGTTGGAACGCGATGCCATCAAACGTTATATGCACTATATCTGTTAACAGTTTCAAAGCTAAGCTAGATGCAGAAATTTCAAATAACCCGCATATCGGGTGGACACGGAAAAATCCGGTCAACTTTAAATTGAGATTTCTCTAAAACCATAAATGCTTTTTATTTCAATTTTTTTTATTATTAAATGTGTTTACATAAATTAGAGTTTCAACTTAATTTTAAGGGGGCTTGATGGGTTGCTTGGCAAGAAATCGAACTTTATAGCGGGTTGATGCCATCATTTTGCAGATTTTTTCTTTTTTCGCCATATTGGTGGCATTAACCAACTTTTTTTGGAAGTCCTTTTTATTATTTGTTAGTCCACCTGTCTTACGAAGAACTCCTTTAACTATTGCCCAAAAACCTTCAACCTTGCGCTCTTCAGGACGATTTGGAGGATTCGCATCTTTAGGAACAATTTTCACATTATTATCTTTGCACCACTGTAAAACTTTTTTAGAATAGTGAGAGGCAGCAAGATCGGGCCAAAAGAGACATCGGTATTTGTGTTTTTTTATAAAAGGCAAAAGTCTTTTTTGGAGACATTTTTTGATGTAGAGATTGGCAGTCAAGGTCTTTTTAGTGACAAAAGAAGAGGACTGCATAGCACAGCTACAAATTGCTTGCCACACAAGGAACTTGGATGAAAATTTTTTTCGTCGAATATATTTAAATTGATCATTGACAGGTTTATCTTTGTTTTCATAGTAAAACTGTTGACCAGGAAGTTGTGAAAAATCCGCCTTGCATTACATTTCGTTGTCTTCAATTATGCACATATTTTTATCCGCCATTATTTTAACCAACTTCTTTGCGCGTCGAATTCCTTTAATTTCACAATTTAAGCTTCTCTTAGGTATATTTTTTTTATGAAACGCTTTAATTCCAGCTTTTTTAAGTACTTTTTTGATATAAGAAAGAGAAGTCTTAAATTTTCTTGCTAGATCTCGCTGTGACTGATTTGGATTTCTTGCTATTGAACGTAAAATCGACTTTACCTTTTTGGATTTATGGAAAGTTTTTTTTCTTCCACTTCCAAGTTTTCTTTCGAAGCTTCGAGTAGTCTTGAACTTGTTTATAATATCTATGACTGTAGATTTTGAGACATTTGTGCGTTTAGCAATCAAGCGATAGGAAGTCGATGGATTTTTGCAAAAAAAAAATTCACAACTTTTTTACGCACCTCAACTTGTTTCCAAAACATTTTGCAAATCATTAACTTGTATACAAAAATTTATTAACACCATTAAAGATAAGGAAGTAAAGTTTAATTAAAAAAAAAATAAAAATAAAAAGCATTTGTGGTTTTGGAGAAATCTCAATTTAAAGATGACCGGATTTTTCCGTCTCCACCCGATAAGTACCGAGATTTTAACTAAATGAAAATGCTAAAGTACACCTTTATACTTCATACTATGTTTCTATGTAATCTTTATATATTGATTTAAATAAAAATTTACTACTACTACTACTACTACTACTACTACTACTACTACTACTACTACTACTACTACTACTACTACTACTACTACTCATGAACCCTTCAACAGTTTATATTGGTACTATGCTGGGCTAGAATCTTGGTTGGAGTAACCCATAACGTAGTCTATATTAACTGTAGGTTATTTCGTAAAAATTAAAAAATAATTGAGTGTTTGTTAACTTGTAATTCAAAAACGGGCTTTACAGTAGAAGAATCTGTGACTGTGCCATCATCAGTTAGTATTAGATGGTTAGCGTAAGGATTGAAATTTAGTACAAAAGAAAACATTTTAGCCAATTACTTTCCCTTTTATACTAGAAACGTCTTACCTAGCAATTACCAAATCACGTGCCAGTTGCAATTACATATTAGTTGGGAGCAGCATCTCGTTTAAACACATCTGATCTTTGCTCTCAAATAAGTTTTCCAGAACTTATCAAGTATTGTTTTAAACCATCTAAAGTCAATTGATAACAAGTCTAGCCGTTAGTTAACTCTTGAAAGTTATCTCGCCCTCCATTGAACTATCCCAAAAAAAGATGACAAGTTGAGCCATGCGGAAGCAGAAAAACAATTAAAATAGACAAAAAAGAGAGACAAAAAGAAAAAAAAACTAACTAAACCATGAGTACAGTACAAACCATGATTAGTTGCTCGCTTAAGAAGTCCTTTGAATAAGTTGCTTTTTTTTTTTTTTTTTTTTTTTTAAAAGAGAGAGAAGGGGTGTGATTTCCAGCAACAAAATAAGTTCTGGCCTTTTATATATAATATGGTCTCCATTTTTAAAACAAGACATTGGCAAGATTGAGAAAATCCAAAAAAGAGCAACCAAACTAGCACCTACAATTAGAAAATTATCATATGAGGCTAGGTTGAATATTATGCAATTAACGTCACTGGAAGAACGTAGACTACATGGAGATCTGATTCAACAATATAAAATTCAGCATGGCCACGATAAAATAAATTGGGTTGCTAACGATTGTGGAAATGCATTGGAGGAGGGTCCATGTCTGCGACAACACAAATTCAAAATGAGGAAGTCTTTTAGCAGAAATACCTTCAGATATCATTTTTTCCAAAATCGAGTTGTAAATGCGTGGAACAGCTTACCATCTGAAATAATAGAAGCTACTTTAATAAATAACTTCAAAAACAAACTAGACAGAGCTGGGTTTTGCAGAAACTATTTGTTAAAACACAAACAAAAGACAAAATGAGCTGTTACAGTGCAATATCTTATATTATTACACTTCGCAACTGTTTAAAACAGTTGTTACAGTTATACCTTATTATCATTATATATCCTAGCCCAATTTATTTAGGTTGTAAGTTTGGGGGAAGGGGCCACGGTATTTTCTACCCTCAAAATGAGTCCAGTACTTTAAATTTATGACAAATTTTAAGATTTAAAGGATCTTTATAACTATTATTGATATTAAATTTCATTTTAATAATCCGACGCAGCACTGATAATTATAATATTATTTAAAAATCTCTTCTTGACATCGTCGATTTCTGATTGTTACATAAGGTACAGTGGTATATTACGTAACTAACGTTCCTTGTGGACGATATGCTAACGTAACTAATCCAACAAGGTTCTTCCGATGACACTTTTTGTTGTACCTGATTTTTAAATAAGGTATAAAAGCATAAAATATAGCTAAATATAAATTATTTTTTGTATTTGTATATCTTTCTATATTGTACGTCTGATGAGCAGCATTCAGAAATATTTTATATTAAAATAACCTTAACTAAGTTGATTATCACCTACTTAGTAGGTGATTCTAGTAGGCTACTAGAAATTAAACTGTTTTTTAAAATTTGTAAAAAAATGCATTTAAATTATATATAGTCATGTTTATTTGTAAACAATATTAATCCAACAGCAAAAAATGAAAAATATCTTTAAAACTTAATAAGATTTGATAGCTCTTATTAGATTATATAATTAAAAAGAATAATAAGTCTAAAATTAAATTGAATATTCATTTTTTTTTAATTTGTTAATGTTTAATGTAAATTATTTTTATTGTTGTAGAATGATAACAGTTGATAACCCAAGTTATCGATTTCCAATAGTACGCTTATATTCAGGATTTGCTGTTTTGTTACTGGCAGATTTAGTTTCTTCATTATTTTTATGGGTTTCAACCACACACATAGATGAGCTCAAAAGCTCTATAATTTCTTTTGAAATTAAAAGCTCAACTTTTGACTTAGCATGTATTGGTTTTTTTCGTGGTTTGTTAATGATTATTATATTAGCGAAATTGGAAAATATGACTATAGCAGCAAGTCAAGATGGCATCAAAAATGAAAAACTAAGGAAATTTATTAGTTTCTTTGGATTTATTACATTTTTTGGGACATTTGTTTATACTGTTTATAAAGACATAATTGTATTGATAGATCATAAAAACAGTAACAAAGGTGTCAAATTCTATGCATTATGCATTTCATGTTTTGTATTTGGAACTTTAGAATTATTGGTATATGTGAAGTTCTTATATCACTTAAAGCAACTACAGAGAATTTATTCATGCCTCAAAAATGAAGATACAACTTCTAATTCACCTACAAAGAAAAATGTTAATCTTCCACGTCTTATGAAATTGACTTATCCAGTAAGTAATAATTTTAGTTACTATAGCACAATTAGCAATTTTATTATTTATAGCCATAAACAGCATTTTATCAATAGCAGTTACCTGGCTGATCATTATTCAAGTTATTTAAATATTAGTTAAATAATAAAAATGTTAAAATAATAATTAGTTAATATTTAATTATTAAAAAAAGCTTCTAAATAAATCTTAGAATCAAGTTTTAAGTTTGTCAGACTGATGTTAACCAGCCTGATAGCACCTCATATAATACAGAATTCCCAAAGATTCAAAAGATCATAGTGAAAAAAAAAACTGTATCAGATTTAAGGTTTAAAGTGTTACTAGACATGTAAAAAGCGTTTTAATGCCAAAAAAGAATTGTCATTAATGAGATAGGTCATTTATTCATAAGTTAAAAAAAAACTTAATTTTTTAATTAACTTTAGTTATTCACTAGTTTTATATTTTTCTATATGTTTAATATATTGTTTTTTTTTAATTTATTCTTATTATTCAAAAACTCCTTATTTGCTGTTTATTTTAAGTTAGAAAAGTTACAAAGATCTTCGCATATTAATAAATAATTTACTTTAAAATAAGTTTTTTACGTTTATTTGTATTAAGAGAATTAAAAATATTTTCGGTAAACTTAAATTTGCTGGTAAAGTACATTGAAAATAACAACAACAACAAAAACGAAACTTTCAATTTAATGTATCATTGTTATATATTTCGTAAAACAAAAATGAGGATAATTAAATTTACATAAACTTTTATAATTTTTTAAAATTTACAAAAACAAAATTTATAAACACAAAAATTAGTTATTTTTTAATAATTTACAAATACAAAATTTATTAGATATTTAATTTATCTCTTTAAATTTACTAGCTGTCTTTGCACGGTAAATAAATCCCTTCAATACCTTTGTTGCTTATTTTAATTAAATCTAAAATTGCACATCGTATCGAAAGTTATTTTATATTCGAAAGTTATTTTATATTCAACTGAAATTGAGCCAAGCAAGTTTTTTATCTAAGAGCTATCAATTTAAATAGGTTTTTTTTACTATACTTTTTTAGTATATGTTTTGCACAAAAACAATAGTTTTTTGAGTTTTTGTTTTTATTTTCAATGTTTTTAATTTTATGTTTTGCAGGAAAACAATAATTTTTTGAGTTTTATTTTAATTTTTAATAATAAAGATAGAATATACATAAAAAAAAAAAGTTGCAAAAACAATGATTAGCTTTAAAACCAACCTTTAATATTGATGTACAAAATATTTTTATTCTTTAATTTAATGCCATAAAAGATTATCTTATTATATTTTGTTTTTGATTATACATGTGTCAAGTACTGTTGACATATTTTGGACAGTTTTTCTAATAATGCCCTTTCTATTCTAGACAAGGCCACAAAATGCATTGCAAATTTAGTTAGACTTCCTTTATATGCCGAGTTTGGGTCACTCTCCCATTGTTGTAAGGGCACATCTCTTTCTCTTTTCTAAAAATACTACTACAAATATATCATAGTTACTGCTCAAATAAGCTATTATCCCTAGTTCCATCAACTAAAACTTATTCTAGCTTGACTCGTCATTATGCAAAGTCACATCCTGTGTGTGTCCTTCATACTCTTTCTTTCCTCGCACATCAATGCTTTTCAACTTACAACTTTTGAAGTCTTATATCAACCATTTTTATGCACTTTAATACTATTCTTTGTTTTCTAGTAAATCCCAACTTAATAGTGGTTGCAGCCCTGTTGGAAATGAATTTAGTAAAAAAGTTTACAATGTTATTATATATATATATATATATATATATATATATATATATATATATATATATATATATATATATATATATATATATATATATATATATATATATATATATATATATATATATATATATATATATATATATATATATATATATATATATTTGTTTAAAGCCTATTAGTCTAACGACAATCTTACTAACAAAGGTATTCATTCATAAGATAACAAATAATAGGAATAGTAATATTTAGAAGTTATTTATAACTTCTAAATGCTATTATTATATTTGCTTATAAGTAATATGTACACAGAGTTGGTAATCTAGTATGAGCCATAAATTTTATAGACAAATGTGATGAAAATCGTGGTTCTAAAATAATTTATTGAACATGATAATAGACAAAAATGAACATTGATGTTGATATGTTGATATATATTGATAAAATTTTGATTGTTTTGATAACAGCAGTTTTTTAAATAAATAACATTTCATTCAAGAGTCTTTAGGCTTGTTTTTTTTTCTCTAGGAAAGATGGAGACTTTTATTTGGTATGATTGGTTTATGTGGCTCAACTGGATCACAAATGATTGCTCCACTATTTTTTGGCTATGTCATTCAAGCAGCAAGTATTGGTGACATGGGTAAAATAAAATTAATTTTAATTTTTCTTGTATTGAGTTTTTTTTCTTCAGTATTTGTTTAAATAAGTATAGTATTTTGTATAAATATTTTTTATAGATTATATTTTATGTTATATATTCTGTTGATTCTATTTATTTTTTATAGATTATATTTTGTTGAAAGAAAATTAGTTTTGAATTGTGAAATGAATGTATATCACTTATAAATAAAGGGAATTCTATCATACATAGTATAATAGAACTCAGTTTTACTATTCTATCGCTTATTATTTTTTTAAGTATAGACCACATATTGTATAGTTAAGTATAGACTACATATAGTATAGTTAAGTATAGACTACATGTAGTATAATTAAGTATAGACTACATACAATGTAGTTAAGTATAGACTACATATAGTTAAGTATAGACTACATATAGTATAATTAAGTATAGACTACAAGTAGTATAGTTATATATATACTACATGTAATATAATTAAGTATAGACTACAAATAGTATAGTTAAGTATATAATACATGTAGTATAATTAAGTATAGACTACAAATAGTATAGTTAAGTATAGACTAGATATGGTATAGTTAAGTATGTTCTACATATAGTATAGTTAAGTATAGACTACATATAGCATAGTTAAGTTTAGACATATAGTTTTTAAGTAAAGATAGTATAGTATAAATAAGTATGTAGTATAGTATATTATATTTTTTAAGTATAGACTATATGTAGTACTCTGACAGTGTGGTTTTGGAATGCAATATTCTAAAAGCAATTAGAAATAAGTTACAAGTATAAAATACACTCTATTGGAAATATGTTATAAGTATAAAATACACACTAACAGTAAGAAATGTTTGAACACTTGTTTGATTGAAGCAGAATTTTTGAACAAACATGATAGCATTTTTTTAAAATTAAACAACAAATTATAGTGTAAAATAGAAAAAATTCTTGGAATTTGTTTATAGATGGACAAATTATTTTCCTTGCAAAATATCTGATTACTGGAATAATATGAAAAAATCTCTTTGTTTAATCATTAACTTAATCTAGTCACATATTTGCGGTAGTCATGTGCGGTAGTCATGTGTGCAGAAAATTAAGTTTATACATTTTGTTGAAATGCTCAACATGATTTATGTTTAAAGCTGTGTGTTTCCTTTTATATTCCTGTTTCTGAGATAATGTTAAATGTTCTGCAGTACTTTCTGCAGCAGGCTTCAACATGTCTCAATCTACTATTTCAAGAAAGGCCAAATGCTCGGGTTTATCAATAAAATGGTTTGTGCATGCGCCAGAAGAACGAAATTCAACACAAGTTATTGATGCACCCAATGGATTTGCAAGCAAATTAACGGAATTTCAAATGAAAAAATATTTATTTGGTTGACACTGGATTTAATGTGCACACCAACAGCACATATAGTTATTCGCTAAGAGAAGCGCTAGCAATTTAACAGTTGTCTGCAAATCGTGGTAAGAATGTTAGTTGAATTTGTGCTGTTTTAACAATGGTAATGCTGGCTTTTGAAATAAAAACTGGAGGCTGGAATGCAGATTCATTTTGTACTTTCATTACTACAATGTTGGCACCAGTGATTAGGAATGCAAATGTGGAGGCTCGGCATTTTTTTAAAATAAATAGCAGTGGCAACAACCTAATTTAAACTTTATATGTAAATACATAAAAGCCAAAAATATTTATATAATATATAGTATCTAATAAAAAGAATTTAATATAAAGAAAATATATATACATTTATTGTTTATATAAAATTATTCTAGAGATTTTATGGTTAGTTGAAACACGCATATAAGAATGAATGAACACGCATATAAGAATGAATGAACACGCATATAAGAATGAATGAACACGCATATAAGAATGAATGAACGCGCATATAAGAATGAATGAACACGCATATAAGAATGAATGAACACGCATATAAGAATGAATAAACATGCATATAAGAATGAATAAACACGCATATAAGAATGCATAAATATGCATATAAGAATGAATAAATATGCATATAAAAATGCATAAATAATCATATATAAATGAATAAACACCCATATAAAAATGAATAGATGCGCTTATAAAAATGAATAACCCTTTAACTAAAATCAGTCGATCAACTTTTTAGCCTAACTAAAATTAGTTAACTAACTTTTTAGTTAACTAAAATTATTAGACTAACTTTTTTTCTTAGTCGACTAACTTTTTAGTTTAACTAAAGTTAAATGACTAACTTTTTAATTTAACTAAATTTACTAGACTAACTTTTTAGTCTAACTAGAATTAGTTAACTAACTTTTTAGTCTAACTGCAGTTAGTGAACTTCTTTTTTAGTTTAACTAAGATTATTAGACTAATTTTTCAGTTAACTAAAAATATGTTAATTATATAATATAATTAATTTATATTATACAATTATAATTAATTACAATAGTTAATAATATAATGAATTAATATATAATAGATTCATGATATTATTCCTAATAGAACTTTTGAATAAACTTGTTAATACATAATCATTTTACTGAAAAATATTGCAAAAATAAAAAATACCAATAAACTTTTTTTTCTCTCAGTTTCGGTACCAAAAATTTAATGAGTTACATTGCAGAAATATTTCTTAAAATCTTCAAAAACTGAAAATGGTAAAACAAAAATATCTTTAGAATTAAATAAGTTACAGAGGTGGTTGAAACCAGTTTTAAGATGAAATATCTAAATATATAAAAAAAAAAGTTAAGTTAGCTATAAAATTTGCCTCTACTCCACAATGTAATGACCGTTATGCAAAATTAATTTCTGGTTATGCGCTAGTTAAGAAGCGGTTAGATTGCCAAGTATTTATTCATTTGCCTTTACAAACTGCTGTAAGTTATTTACAGATTACTGTAAGTTACGAGGGGCTGTTCATTAATTATGTCAACAATTTTTTTGGCAATTTTACTTCCCCCTCCCCCTTTTCAACAACTAGTCAAACTTCCAGAAATCCCCCTCCCTCAATAAAATTAAGTCAACTTTTTTCTGTAGCAACTCTTTAAAAAGCATAAGGTATCAATAATGTTATCATTTAAGCTACTTCTAAATTTGGTTGAAAACAATCTGCATGCACTTAAAGCTCGTTCACTCTCAACAATGTTGGTTGGATAGTTGAACACTAAAATAAAATCTCCATATTAGAAGTTTTGTTGACTCTGAACTAGAAGTACATTATTTTGTTGACTTATTTTGAAGGCAGAAATTTCTTTATTGAGAGATTTTATTTTGAGATCTTTATTATTTAATTCTTGCTTTAGCTCAGCACTTTGTATAGCTTTTTTAGCTGTGTTTTCATATCAAAAATTTCTTCTACTTGGATTTCAAAATCATCAATAGTATTTTCTGTACAATTTTCTTTGCTTGATGTTAAAGTCTTAGTAAAAGGTCTTTAGCTAACAATATAACTGCTGATTTTTTTTGGCTTCACTCCAAAAGTATCCAAAGTACCAGAAAATAGAAAATTAGGCTTGTTTAAATGTTCAATGAGGTGTCAAATCAAATTAGGATTACTTTTGCTTAAAATTTTTGTTTTTAAAGCTTGGTAAAGTTTTTGCTTATGCCAAGATGCCAAGTTTGTAGTTGGCATAAAACAAAACAAAATTTATTTTTTGATGTAAGCAAATTTGAGTGTTGACAGCAAAGTGCTTCCACTCTGTGCTTTTACTAGCTTTTAAGCCTTAACTAAATCGTTAAGAATTAGCAGCTCTGAATCTGACATTTTTATTGGAGACTGCCATTTTAATACATTTGCTTAACTTGAAAAAGTGTTTAACCATATCAAATAATGAGTTCCAATGTGTCTTGCAGTCTAATATAGGTTTATGTCCAAATTCTGATTTTACATGCTTCTGCAACATATTGTCATTTTTATTAGTTTTTTAAGCAATTTTTTTTATGCCAACTTTTTTAAGCAATTTTATTATGCCAACTTTTTAAAATTGAAAAATGATCTTTTATAACAACAGCCTCTACTAAACTATTTTCAAATGCAATGTAGCCCAGCTCTTCACCTTTTCCTCTTTATTAAGCTCTTCACTATCATTCCACTAATATTAATTTCAAAATTATCTAAAACATCAGTTGGTTTCACATAAAGTACATTTCCTACTGCTAAATGGATTGCATGGGCATAGCAAATGAGATGTTGACTGAGCGGTTAAACGGGCATAGCAAATATGATGTTGACATGGGCATAGCAAATGTGATTTTGACTATACTACCAAATTTAACCATAATTGATGCTTCATATGTAGTTGTACTAACAATATCATTATTAAATTCTAGTTTGAATTCACTTAACTTTTCACTATCTTAACAGCTTTTTCAGATGGCGTACTTCCAACAAGATTATAAGACCAATATATAAAGGCTTCCATTTGTGTGCACATTAATATTCATATAACAGCGCATTTTAATTGATGTATATTTATCAACAGTTAAACTAAATCTGAAATTGTTAGCTTTTATGTCTTTTAATTCAGCTGTTACTTAACTCTTAATGTCTTTAGTAAAATATTTTTAATGGATATCGAACTAGAAGGTATTTTTTTGTCCTTTAGCTAAAGCAAATTGTCATAACCTCTTACTTTTAGCAACTATGTTAAATAAAAGTCCATTAATTGCAATGAGATCTATTATTATATTAAGAATAGTACCTTTCCTTATACAAAATTTCTGATATTTTTTTAGGATAGACCTTGAACTGTTTTTATAGGATGTAATAATTGCGATTCTACTTTATGCCTAATCTTTATTTATTTAATTTAAAATTATAATTTAAAATACTTTTGCATAGCACTTGTGCAGCCTCCTTTAATTGTTACAATGGCATTACAGGTTTTGCATTGAGCAGTTTTTTTTATTTTGCTCTTTAAGAAATGCTACCAAACAGGAGCATTACTTTTAATTTTTTGGAAAGTCATTTTAAAATTGTTTTTCTAAATTGCTTTGAAATATTATTATGCTTTAAAGTGTAACAGTTTCAAACTATGTGTATGCTAAAATTGTATCCAAAATCAATATTATAAAAAGTAATTTTATGTAAAAATAACCAGGAACGGAGTATCTGAATCAAATAGATCTGGATCCAGATCTCAAAAAATGGTATGGGTACTCAGGTATTCAGTTTGAGATCTTGGATCTGACTATGCCCTAAGCACAAAGTACTATTGATTTTTGTTTTTTTTAAATATAAGTTATAAACTGTATAGCATAATGGAACATTTTTTAGATGCCTTGAACAAACAGATTTTGTATTTATTTCTAATATATATGATTGGTTCTGTGGCATCAATGTTTCGTTCTTGGCTGTTTACTTTAGCTGGTCAAAGTATTGTTGCGACACTTCGAAAACAAGTATGTTTCTTTATGTCTAATTTTTTTTTAATAATTTTTTATTTTTATTATATTAGGAAAAAGTTATATTTTTATATAAAATTATATAATTATAGTGCATGTATATATATATATATATATATATATATATATATATATATATATATATATATATATATATATATATATATATATATATATATATATATATATATATATATATATATATATATGTATGTGTGTGTGTGTGTGTGTGTTTGTGTGTGTGTGTGTGTGTGTGTGTGTGTGTGTGTGTGTGTGTGTGTGTGTGTGTGTATTGTCTTGGAATAAGGCTGATTCCAGATTTTTGTAATTAATAGATTGTTTTTAAAAAGATTTTATTTTAAAAGGTTTTTTTGTTTTTTTCTTTGTTTCTCTTTGTTTGTCTCTTTGTTTTTTCTAAAGGTTTACTCTAGAAAGGAAAAGTTGGAAACTAAAAAATTAGTTATAAGAATCAAGTGTTGTTTGAAAGTTATTACTGCTGTTTGAAAATATATATATATATATATATATATATATATATATATATATATATATATATATATATATATATATATATATATATATATATATATAGCTACTGATTCAGCATAAAGTTGTCATATTGATTGTATTTATGTTAATAAATAATGTTTGGTCCAACCAATGACTGTTGCAATGCCGTGTCTATTAAAATGTGCCTATTGCATGTCATTGCATGTCTATTAACTTGAATTGAAAACTATTATTTAAATTAATGGTTTTTACAACTCGGCTTAAGAAAAAAAAAGTTTATATATTTTTTAAATTTAAAACTTAAATTTTATTGTTAGATTTGAGTTTACAAATACATTGTTCTTTAAATTTTTTTACACTTATATAGCTGTTCAATCATTTAATACAACAAGAAATTGCCTTTTTTGACTTGAATAGGTATGTATATTTTTATTTATGTTTTTATGTATTATATTTATATGTTTACTTGAGCATTTAACAGTTTAATTTTACTTAACTTTTTAAGAAGGGGTGCATAAAATGAATTTTTTGGAAAAAATACAATTTTTTGATTGTAAATGATCTTGTACATACTCCCTACTTACACCCTCAAATTCACACACTCACACTCAAACCTCGTACCCAAACCTCACACCCAAACCTGTCTGAAAGATAAAAATTAATAAGATTCAACCTGAAATAATGACTAAATAATTTAACCAAAATTATATATATTAACTTGAGTTTTTTAATGTTATCTTATTTATGTAATTATGTTAACAAAAAAAGTATTGCATCCAATAATAACATTCTACTTCTAGTCAGTAATTTATGTAATTATATTAACAAAAAAAGTATTGCATCCAATAATAACTACTTCTGAATGATTGATGAATGATGAATCTTTCTACAAATCTAATAATAATATGATGAATAAATCTTTCTAAAAATCTAATAATAATATGATAATGTAAAACAAATGGATTTAGCTTGACTTTTAACAAAAGTTTTGTTTTGTTAAAAGTCAAGCTAAATCCAATTATTTACACTTTGTTACTGTATAATTTTTAAAACCTATTTGTGAGTTGTAAAAAATGATCAAGTATTGGTTAGAGTTAACACCTGTTGATAGAAAGCGTAAACTGATATTTAAGTTTACATTGAATTATCTAATCCAACCAATATTATATGCATATTTTTTTGATTCACTTTTAAATATACTATTTTTTTTGTTGTCATTATAATTATCATAAACTGTTATTAAACTCTCCTTCAGTCAAGAAAAATTCGATCCCCACCATGTCTCTGGTATGGATGATACTTACTATCTGCATCTTACTAATATACCTCTAGCTGGGTTGAATGGGTTTTTCGTTTTCACAAATGGTGTTTCATGATGTCCTATCACTATCACTGATCTGGAAACCCCAATGATATATAATAATAATAATAATAATAATAATAATATTTATTTGCATTAAAAAAATACATTAAAATACAAAAGGGTGAGGCAGGTAATCACAAGATTACGCTTATGTAACACCTGAACAAAGGCAATTTAATACAATACACAACTTTGTTGTAAGTTGTATGTTTGTAGTTTTTTTGAATATGAATAATGAAGATGAATCGACAATGTGAGCAGGCAATGAATTCCATATTTTTACAATTCTTTCACTAAAAAAAGATCTATGTGTATCGTTAGTACATTTATTGCGTGAAACTAATTTTTTCGCATGACTTCTAGTGGGGTAATGAGAATTGAAAAGTGTAAAGAAATCGGAAAAAGGAAGGTCAACAAAATTGTTTATAATTTTGTATGTCATAAAAAGATTGAATTTGACTCTGCGGCGTTCAAGAGAATCGAGTTTTAAAACAGATATTCTTGATGCGTAATCAGTATAAAAAATATGGCATCTTTTACAGGTAATTCTGCTGAACTATCTTTGGATGTTTTCGATGCAATGTATATCTTTAAGAAGGTAAGGACTCCACACTGGGGTGCAAAATTCTAAGATTGGACGCACATAGATCTTGTAGGCTTTTAAGAGGAGATTTGAATCATTACTATAAAGGTTTTGAAAAGTAAATATAGACAGGCGTAAGCTTTTTTGGCAATACGAGAACAGTGTTTGGAAAATTTTGTGTTAGAAGATACTGTAATACCAATATCTTCAATACAGTTAACAGTCGTTATCGGGATGTCCAGGCAAAACGAATACGAATGAACAGTCAAAGACTTACTTCCAAAACATAAGTGAAAACATTTTTTGAATGCTATTTTTTGTTGCCAGCTGTCCAATCAGAGAACTTTTTAAATGATATTTTAAGGTCTGCATTGTTATTTTTGACGATAGCAAATCGTTTGGTACGATTTGCTATCGTCAGCAAACAGCTTTATTCAACAATCACCTTCAATACAAGAAACTACATCATTAATAAATAATAAGAATAAAGTCGGAGCCAACACAGTTCCTTGGGGTATTCCACTCTTTACAGGTACGTAGTTTGAGTAAAAATTACCAATGCAAACACATTGGGATTGGTCAGTTAAAAAGTTGGTAATCCAATTTAGAAGTTTGTACTTAATGCCTTAACAATTCAGTTTGTACACTAACTTGCGATACAGAGTCGAATGCCTTTTCGAAGTCAATATAGATAATATTAACTTCCTTTTTCTTGTTAACAGCTGAGGTCCATTCATTAAGAGAAGCTAACATCTTTGTACATGTAGATCTACGCTTTAAGAACCCAAATTGGTGAATAGAAATAAAGTTATTAAGTTGAAGGTACCTTTTTAAGCTATTATCAATAATTGACTCCATAACTTTGCAACTAATACAAGTCATTGAAATAGGTCTGTAGTTCGTAGATAAGGAGGGGTTACCTTTCTTGAAAATTGGACATACATATGCGTTTTCCAAATATTTGGAATTACACCGGTTAACATTGACATCTCGAAAAGGAGAGAGAACGGGATGGCAATAATATTAGCAATCGATTTCAGGAATAAGGCAGGGTACCCATCTGGTGATTTTGATGATTATGGTGAAAGTTTTTGAAGGGCTGATAGAACAAAATCATAAGAAAATAGGACATTATTCAAAGAATTATTGTGGGATGGTGGGTCTAGCACAGGTTTAGTACTGTTGTCAGAGACAAACACTGAAGCAAAAAAATTGTTCAGAAGGCTCGATTTTTCACAGCCATCAATACAAAGGGAACCGTCAGGTCTTACAAGTGGCGCAAAAGAATTTAAACAGTTAAATTTTGAATTGGCGTAAGAATAAAATTGGGTTAAATTGAAGTTGTCTACTATGTATTTTTCTCGAGCAATACAGTTTTTTGTGATTTCAGCATCGTATAAACGTTAACAATTCTTGTAGTTGATAAGAACAGAAAGGTTATGTGTTCTTTTATAAAGTCTGTACAGAGTACGTTTTTTGGGCGCTAATTTACGAATAGCAAGGGGTTGAACGAGCTTTTTTTTATTGCATAATGAAGGAACATAAGAAGCAATAGATACACTCAAGACTTTACAAATAGCTTGCCAGAATGATTGCCAGTCTTGGTTTTGTTTGGCCAACATATACCAGTTTACGTTAAGCAAGTCGTTATTAATCGAAATATAGTCAGCTTTATAGAAATTGTGAATACTAGATAGTTCACGGCGTTTGGAATTCATCAAATTACAATTAAATAGTATGGTGGAAAGGTCGCAAGTGCTGGTGAATGGAGCAGCTGTTTCCACATTGTAAACAATTTTTTTATTATTTGTTAAGATGAGGTCTAACAAATTATTAAGTCGAGTATTGACAGTTACGAGTTGGGTGAGAGCATATACAAAACAAGTTTCTACGAAAAAATCATGGTACGCATCACCAAAACTGATAAGAATCGACTAGTCTATTTGTGGTAAGTTAAAATCACTGGTTATTATACATGCAGAATCACACGTTAACAGAAAATTGGAAAGCAACTTGCACATGGATTTGGTTTTAACAATGTTAGAAGAAGCACAAGGTGGGTGGTAAATGCACAAAAATCTTATCTTGACGTGGTTTAAAGGAGCACTTATGTCGACACAAGTAAATTCAGTGTATTGAAGATCGTCAGGAATTTCTGGACGAATTTGGACTGAATGAATATCATTGTGCACCAATATAAGTGAGCCACCACCTTTACTGTCACTGTCATGTCGAAAAACTTTGTAGCCGTTTCCATTTAACAACAACGAGTCTGGAGTAGAGGTGTTTAGCCATGTCTCTGTGATGAGGATGATATCATGGTTGCCATATTAGAGAAGGTTGTGTAGGTTTTCTAGCTTATTGTTCAGAGATCTTGCATTAAAATATGCACAATTTAACGTTCTGACAGTGGTTTTCATGATGGGAGAAGATTGTAGTGGTCAATCATTCGACAACTTTTTATGCATGGTTTTTCCTTTTGGTGATGCAAATATGTAACTTTTCTCGTTTGATGATTCTTCAACGTTGATACAGCAAATTTGTTTAGTGCGGCGGTGAACGACATAGCGAAAAGGATTATCGAGGAGACCTGTTTCATTAAGTTCGTCGTTATGTGCTTTTAACGTTTTGCGTTGCTCTTTGAATTCCGTTTGTTGTGCTGGGGTTAGGTCTTCGCGAACAAAAACACCTTTAAACTCAGTGACAATAGCACAATTCAAGTACCTCATTTCGTCCATCTTCACTGTCGAAGATAACTTTTAATAAATTCGGGGCAGTCCTGCTACTCTTAGGTTTTGAATTTAGTCTTCGAACTGAATTAATAACCATAGACGCTCCACAAGCATTAAAGAATTCGGTAAGGAGAGTTATGTCATTTTTAGTTTCGGATTTGTCAAGGCCAACAACAATGACATTTGATGCACGTTCGTTTCTGTCTTTGGCGTCGGCAGCCACCATGTTTATAACTTGGTGGCTTTCTTTGGATGATTTTTTTAAGACGGAAGCGAAAGTCTTTGTGGGATCGTTTGTTTTATTCATTAAATCAACCCTAAGCTTGGTCGGTGTTATGTCCAATTTGGTTAGGTCAGACTTCAGCTTGGCAATTATAGAGTCTTTTGACGCTAAGTTGTTCTCAAGTTTCTTTATTCGAATTTGTAAGCTTGATACCTGTTCGTTTAAATTTGCTTTAAGTAAAGTATATATATATATATATATATATATATATATATATATATATATATATATATATATATATATATATATATATATATATATATATATATATATATACTTTATATATATACTTTATATATATACTTTATATATATATATATATATATATATATATATATATATATATACTTATATATATATGTATATATATATATATATATATATATATATATATATATATATATATATATATATATATATGTATATATATATATATATATATATATATATATATAT